TGCGTAGTATGATTGGACAGCTCGCAACAATTCATTGATGCGTTTTGACAGGCCGGCGCCATGTCGCTCGGTGATGTGCATTGACCGGCCGCTCTTGCTATAAAACGCCATGTACGGCCCCGGTGGTCACGCAGTTTGCGAACGCATCTTGCGAGCTACCTTGGTAAAGTTTTGCGACGCTGCGATCTTGTCAACAGTGGCTGCGTCGATAGCTGCTTCGGCAAGGATCCGGTCGGCAAGCAATTCGAGCTCGCAATCAACTGCCGTGCGGGAGTTCGCTTTGACCTTGCGTGCTTTTTCAAGCCGCGAGCTGTTGGGGATGCAGTCGGTCAGGCAGACGCTGCACGCTGTCAGGAGAGTGCGCGCCAGCGAGATGCCGGATCCGGGCGCATCGCTGCATGTGCCTCGTGCAACGAGGCACTCTACGAATGCGAAGATCAGATTGTTGACGCGGGGCCTGTCGAACACCTACCCACAGTGTTTCGCCTCGATGACTTCCAAGTTGCTCGGCTGCCGCGCGACAGCAAGCTCGTCTCCGAAGTTGTGTCGGTGCTCCGCGTTGATGGTGTGCACTATCATCTGAACTCAAGCCTTGTCCCAGACAAAAGCAACGTCGTGCTGTGCTCGACATGCGCCAAGGACCCGACTGCAGGGTCTCACAGTATCGCCAAGGGCTACGACTACGGGCGGTGCGAGACGTTGCCAAAAATCAGCGACGCTACCTTGCGGGCTATCACAGCTGCACGTGCGCATCATATTAACCTTCTTGTGCGCCAGCACCACGCAACCGCCCACTGCATTTGCTTTTTTGCGGATGGGCCGATCCAAGTCGCCAAGATTTTGCCTGAAGTCACGGACGGGCGACGATTCCATGTGACGTACGTCGGACCACACGAGAAGTGCGATGAGACGCTCAATTCCATCCGTGAGCACCACGAGATCGTTGCAGACACCGCTTCTCGATATCTTCACGTCTGGAAAGGCGTGGGCCATCCGGGCTACGTTGACGTCACTATCGACGACAGCACAGAAATGCGCAATCGTATGACCGCCGAAACCGACGCGATCGAGCGCGAGGTCATCATCAACGACGACCAAGACGTCATTGCACTCAAGGAGTATCTTGACGACAATGTCGACGTCGTTGACGGCGACGATTAGCCTCACACTTTGGGTCGCATACGCCGAAACCGCGAAACCCGAGTGGCAAGGTCAGCAGACCATTCTGGTTCACCAATGCGTCGTCGCCGAGTATCTCTACGTGAAGTACTTGGCCACTACGTATCGAACCACAATCGATATCGACCCCCCAACACCCGAAGCTAGTCGCATCCGCCAATCGTTGCACCAACAAGGTCGTCTGCCAAGCACCAATTAAAATACATAATCCATATGATTTCATCGTTCCTACCAGCCCACTCCCCCGGACCCTAGTC